CGCTAGGAGAGAGGCGGCGGGGCCGCGAAGACGGGCGGCGGGGCCTCTGAGACGAGTGGCGGGGCCGCAGTGAAGGGCCGCTAGGGCGGCTCGACGAAGTGAGGGCCCGGAGCGCGACTCGGGCTGAGCGCGCTTCGGGCAGGAAAAAAAAAACGATGTGGTGGGCCCTAAGCACAGTTCCCAAGGGGGAACCTGCTCGATACCATGAGAAGATTTGAACAAGGATGAATGAACTATGAATGAAGTGAGTACATATAGGAAACCCTAATTGGGTTGTACCCCCTATGGGATACCCCACTATAGCCTACACAACAGCATAAGCTATATATATGTTCTGACACATACTCGCCGACACTTATGGGCTGCAACGAAAAGCGGAGTGGCTAAATCGCACTTAAGAAGAAGTGGGTCGCAGGCGACGAGGGAAACCAAGGCCGGTAACCTCGGAAACGACTCGTGCGACACTGCGTGCCTGGTGTTGTTGCAAGCTGGCCGGCATTTTCGAGAGCGGTTTCTCCTACCAGGGAAGTCGTTTTCGGGGACAGCTGCTGACAACCCACGATTAAACGGCGTCCAAGGTACTGCCCGACATTTACGGAGGTTCGGTGCAGGACGCCGGGACACACGAGAAGAAACTGCCCAACGGCTAAGCGGGGGTTGAAGAACGTCGTGGGAGCAGATTAAAAGCCGGTGGAACCGATCTGCAACCCTACTTCGCCCGAACCTCACCATCCCCACCAAGTCCTGGTTCTGACTCAAGCAGTCAACCTACTTGGCCGAATAACGGGGGTGAACACGTGCCTACCCTGTGCTGGTTAAAGGCACCTGGACTGGTGCCCGTTCGACAGCTGTTCAGAAAAATCCAAGAAACAAGAGGAGCTCGCGGCACTATTCTACTCCGACAAAAACGGGCTGGTTTAAACAGCACGCGAAAAAGTCGGGGAGCTGCGAAGAAACATTGGAGCAGTTTACGGATTTCTCCTGACCCGGGCGTCTACACGAATTGACGGCGCAGCGGCGAAGCTGAGACCCGGAAGCTGTGGAGTTTTCATGGCGTGATAGGCACGGCGGGCTGCAAAACGGTTGGACGATAGTTCCTTTTAACTAAGGCTACCCCGACTCCGATATTTTTTGCCCCTCCACCGTGGCCGGGTTCGCGCGGGCAACAACGACGATACCCCATCCGACAAAAGAGGACGCTGGGTGAAACGGCGGGAAGCGAAATTGTCGGGGGGTGAAGACAAAATAACGGAGGGAAAGTTGTGGGTGATTCAGCAGATCACTTGAATGAGAGGTTGAGCCCGTACACCACTCCACCGTGAATTTCGGGGTCTACTAACTGGACGCCGAAAGGGTCAGAAACTTAAAACATGGAGGCACGGCGAGGTGTGCACTGCCAAGGAGACCTGGGATCTGCTAAGTGGCTTCGACGGGTATGAAGACGGGTGAAACGTCGGAATACCAGGGTTGACAGAGGAAACGTCGGGGTACACGGCGGAGAATAACTTCGGGACTGCTGCCTCAACCACGATTTTCGGGTGATCTTCATACGGTGAAAAAAGAAAGAAAAAAGAGTTGGAGCTGAGGGTGTTTCTTCGCTTCTTGGAGTGCGGTTGAGCCGTTGGGGGACTTCCCCTGAAGGGTCACCTTTTAAACGACACCGCGGGAAATTCTTCAGTAAAAGGGAGCGTGGGAGCAGCCAAAGTTTCGGGAATTACCTGCCGGCGACGAGCGATGGGTGAAACATCCGCAAAGTGCCAGTGGGAGTTGAGTAAAATTTTGTTAAGCAGCATCGGCGGGAGCAGCTTTCGACGACGAGGTCAACGGCGTTGATGCCACTAGGTTCCGTGAGATTCGGTCTCGGGTTACCCAGGGCAAGTCCCCGGTTCTCGATTGAACTCACATGCTGGGGTCGGGTAAATCGAAGGAAACTACTGGTGACCGAGTGGGCGGCTATAGTACGTCCGAGATTTTCGGAGGAGAACTGCACCTGCAACCGAGGATTTACGGGGTTGTGTTTCGACCGACATTTACGGAGTTTAACGCGGGACTTACAGGTTTTCTGCAAGGAGCGCCGACGATTTTCGGAGGATTATTCCGTGTTGGTTAAACGCGTGCGACAACAACGTTCAGGCAACATCGAGGGAACTACACGGAGTTTTCAAGGGGTACGAACGACTTACGACGAACTGAAGAAGGCGGCAGCAACAGTGAAGGGGGAGGAGAGACAGCTGCAAATTTCCATCTCTGCCCAGGAGCCCTCGGCGCATTACGACAAATCTCTCGGCAGATCCATTCCAACTCTACTAACGACAAGTCGCCTTCGACCCGCCCACGACAAAGGATTTTAATTCCTACCACGTCAGGTGCTGACAGCTGCAACTGCTGAAGATATCGCTTGATTCTGGCGAAGTGAAGACAAAAGAACTTCAGTTCGAGTACTCGATCATTTACATTTCGGTTTCTGGTCTACTGCTGCGGGTTCACCCTCGAAGATTCCTTGAACACGTAATACCTGGTTTTCGTCATCGAATTTTCCACACCCGACACATTTTCGCCTGGACTTCTACGCACAACACTCTCTTACGTGGGACTTGACATCTGGTTTTTTTGTTGTTTTCATCTCGGCGCAGCTGCGAAACTTTTTCTGTGGTTCGTTTCTTGACGGGGGGGAGAAAGTGCGTTGCACTGTTTCCTTCCTTGGCGTTTTCTCGAGTTTCTTCTTGACTGTCAGGATGTGTCAGCACGACGGACGATCGCGATCACACCGATAAGATCAACGGTCTCTGCTACATCGCGATTGAGTTTCGCGTCAGCAGCTTCCCTCCAAAGTCGCGCGTCAGTTTCGACCGTCCGATAGAGATCTACATTCATCGACGGTCCTTAATCCAACCTTCATTTCGAATTGGTCAAGACCATCTGCAGACGTCAGATCTACAGCCATCGCATCTACGGTCCACATTCCAACTTCTCTTTCAAATTGGGCCAGTTCATCGTCGACCGTCAGATCGACATCTGACTACATCAACGGCCTACATTTTAACTTTTCAAAATATATTGTCAAAGGCATTTCAGCCGTCGGATTCAGCTGAAGAGGAGATCAACGGCATCCTCGTTAGAACGGGCTTCTTCTACGTACAAGGCTGCCTTGCTTAGGAGGTGGGAGAGTGTAAGGATTTACAAATCCTTACTGAGGCACTCGTTAGCGAGGCAATCCCGAGGTTCACGCGACGAACCTGTGGGGCCTATTTCGTCGCACCGAACCACCCCCGAGTCGCCTCCGCACCAATCGCAACCATCACCGAGCCATCCTTTCCCGACCTCCCCGCCTAGCTAGCTTTTCCCCTATTTAGGCCTCGTCTCTTTCATTGTATCGACATTGAGTAATCAATCATTCTCGTTATTCGTTATTCTGCGCACTCTCTTTTACAACGCATAACAAGGTAGGTGTCCTGTGTAGCATCAACTCAAGCCCTGGCATTCGCTTTTCCACTCTGCATGATTGCGCCATGCTGCTGCACTGACTCGTCGTCCGGCGTCACCGTGTGTTGCAACAAGCGCGATTATTTCTCGCTGGGCTATTTGTCGATCCGGTTCCTCTGGGCCTGCCAAGCATAATCATGACGCGTGGCAAGCAAAAGATCGAGTCGCAGAAGCGCAACGAAGCGCGGAATCAAAAGTCTAAGGGCTCGCAATTAGAGGCCCGCGCCGCGGCTTTCAAGTCAACATGCCCGATTTGTAAGGTATGGTGTTTCCGCTGGTTGGCCAGTTTAGGAGGCTACCTGCATATGAAACTTATTGGGTGCGATAAGAAGGGCCCGCTTTGAGAGGTTAATATATAATGTACCATCTTTGGTGGCGTTTGCGTCGTTGTATAAGGTCATACAAATATCGTCACTGCGCATAGCGGAATTCTTATTTGCTAATAACGGGGCGATTCACTCTGCGGACGACGGAGCGGTGGAGTATTTAGAGCACATTGTTCCTGTTGTTGTGCCAGCGGTGTTGTCTGTCAAGCCGTCCCCGTCATGTATCAATGTGCCGTGTCCGTGGTTACTCTGTGTTGTGGAGAAACATGACCCTAGGAAGTTGCTCTGAGCCTGCACTTCACCGGAAACATTTGGAATCCAGCTCATAAGCCTGCAAGGTTTTCTTCTTTCACGTCCTCCTTGGCTTGGCTTGCGTTTTCACATCCACCGTCCCTGTTTTCGTCATCCATATACTCAGTTACCACCACTCGTTTTAAATTAATTAATTTCTCTCTTGTTTCCGTCCTCCTACTCTCGTATTCTTTCTTTCCATGTCGCTTCCAGGTTCTGCTCGCCAATTACAACCAGCTGGTTGACCACTACGGCTCTAAACACCCAAAGGAGACGGTTCCCCCACAGCCAGACTCATGACACTGGCTTGCGGACAGACTCTACACCTCTTGTCCGCGTTATGGATCTACCTCAATGTTTTCTGGCACGCATTGCACCAAGTTTTGTGTAAATTGTGACACCATTTGTTTCCAGACAAATGATACTCCGGTCCGGTGAAGGGTTTGTATGGCACCGGCATGGGGTCACATCCCATGCTCAACTGTAAATGGTGATTCCAGGGCTGCTGCTGCTGCAATGGAAGTGTGCAGCATCGAGTAAACCAGCACTGCTGCGCTTAACGATTTGCGTATTGGCCATAGATTCAGAGTCATAAGCCTGATGCTACCTTTAGAGAGATTCCTACATATATGTGATGACAATGTAGGTGTATCAGTAATTAGTGTTGTTACACAGCACTTCACGCAGAATCCGGCGGGAAGTGCCGTTCCGGGTCCATCCTAGAGCGGGGATATTGTATGTGCATTTGCCTTCTGCATTTCCCTGAGTCGACTGCGCAGAGCACACGTTGAAGAATCTGTGTTGCTGGCAAGGCAAGCCAGATTCGCCTGCCAGCGGTGCTGCCCCATCTCTCGTGCAGTCAGAGCCTCCCCGCCCGCGTCCGCGGGTTCCGCTCGCGCAATGAGTGCGGAACCAGCCGTTGATACCGCGGTCGGATCCGTCGCAGCATCTCCGCCGTCCGATGACCCCAGTCCGCCAGTAACATGGCCCGCCGACGGTCAGATCTCCGTCGCGTGGGTGCGCGAGTTCGCAGCGCGTCTGGACCACGCGTCGCGCCACGTGTCTCCAGAGGATCTTCCCACCGTCCTCCCTGTTGCCACTGTAGACGGCATTCTCAATGCCGCGTATAAAATCCTGCACAAGGAGCCAAACGTCGTGCGCGTGTGGCCGCAATCGGCGGCGCCGACCGCGGCGGCGACGAAATCTCGACCTAGCCCGTCCGCTGTAGGCGGAACGGAGGGAGGGGAGAAGCCAGGGACGGGTGTTTGCGCGGAGGGGAGCGATGGTGGGGGGAAAGCCGAGGCGAGGGGAGGGGACGCAGCGGGAAAAGAAGGCGAGGAGAGGTCGCGGCGCGATGGGAAGGCTCCCTGCGAGAAAGCAGTTCCAGGCGGGATTGTCGCCGCCTCCGCCGCCGCCGCCGTCGGAACAGGAGAAGGATTAGGAGGAGGAGAAGACGGAGGAGGGGGAGAGAAAGAAGAGGCAGCAGGAGAAGCGGGAGCAGGAGCGGAAGGAGGATCAGGGGAAGGAGGAGCGGGGGGAGTGCAAGTGGTGGTGGTGGGCGACGTGCACGGGCAGCTGCACGACGTGCTGCGACTGCTGCGACTGACGGGCGAGCCGTGCGACTCGCGCTTCTTCGTGTTCAACGGCGATTACGTGGACCGCGGCGCGTGGGGCCTGGAGACGTACCTGCTGCTGCTGAGCTGGAAGGTAGGCGCGGAGGGAGGGAGAGACACGTGGCATGCGATACGGGGAGCAGAACATTTTCCCTTTTTTGAGATGCCTAGTCACGCTTCTCCCGCATCCCCCCCCACGTGGTATAACCGGCCCTGCATATCATCCCCCTCCCCACCCCCTCTCCACATTCCCCCCTCCCTCCCCCCCAGGTGCTGTTCCCCCAGCGTGTGGTCCTGCTGCGCGGCAACCACGAGACGCTGTTCTGCGCCATGCACTACGGCTTCCAGAACGAGATCCGCCACAAGTACCCCGCGCCCTCCGCGCAGCACCTCTTCCGCCGCTTCCTCGCCTGCTTCGAGTCGCACCCCCTCGCCGCCGTGGTTAACGGCGCCGTGTTTGTGTGCCATGGGGGGTTGTTTCGCAACCCGGAGGAAGCGGGTGGGAAGGCGGGGAGAGGGGGTGCGGGTGGGGGTGGTGGCGGCGGTGGCGGCGGGCGGGAGAAGGGGAAAGGGAAGGGGAAGGGGGGGAAGGGGAAGGGGAAGGGGAAAGGTCGGGTGGGGGAAGGGGGGAGTGAGAAGGGCGGGACGAGGAGGAGGGGGAAGCGGGAGGTACCAGAGGTGGAGCTAGGAACAATCGCAGACCTGGAAGGGACGAGGAGAGGCATTCTGGATCCCCATGGCACGGGGTCGCATGCTATAGTGGCGGATGTGCTGTGGTCCGACCCTGCTCTGAAGGATGAGCTGCGGCATAATGCTACCAGGAATATTGGGCTTGTGTTTGGCCCGGGGCACACGCAGATGTTCCTGGAAACGCATGGACTCAAGGTGAGGGGGGTGGGGGATGGGATGTTCACACACACGCAAAAATATCCACGGATTTTGTAGAGCCCTCGACTGGTGTTCGGCCTGCAGGACACACGGATTTTTCTGGAGACGCATGGGCTTAAGGTGCGGGGGATGGGGGGGATGAGATGGTTACACGCACTCAGATGTTCACGCAGTTATTAGAGCCCTCGACTGGTGTGTGGCCCGGAGCACACCCAGATGCTCATGGAGACGCATGGGCTCAAGGTGCAGGGGGTGGTGAGATGTTCACAGGTTTTATCGAGCTCTCGACTGGTGCTTGGCGCAGACGCACTCAAATGTTCATGGAGACGCATGGGCTTCAGGTGAGGGGGTTGGGGCTGAAAGAGTGGAGGAGGAAGGGTGGTGGGCTTTTGCACTGTTGACTTGCCAGGCCCCCCTTATTTCATCCATCTCCGCCTCTTCCTCCCTCCCCACCTTCCTCTCTTCCACCGTCAATATTCGCACCCTCTCCTTCCCTTCTCCTTCCCCGTTTCTCCTCCCCCCCCGCCCCCACCAGCTCATAGTGCGGTCGCACGAGGGGCCGGACGCGAGGGAGAAGCGGGCGGAGATGAAGGCAATGAGCACGGGTCTCACAGTGGACCACGAGGTGCCAGCCGGCCGCCTGCTCACGCTCTTCAGCGCACCCGACTACCCGCAGTTCCAGGTGCGTGCTCCCTGCCGCTCCTGCCTTCTCACTCTTACCCACCTGTGCGTTCTATTTTTTCTTGCTTGTCCTATTTCCCCTCGGTTCGCTTGCCGCTCTTTACACAGCACCACACTCGCCCCTCCTCTCCGTTGATTTTTCTCCAATCGCTCTCGCTTTCTCCCCTACCTCCCGCCCTCCCGCCCTCCCTCCTCCCGCCCGCCCGCCAGGCGCGCAAGCAGAGGTACAGCAACAGAGCAGCGTACCTGGTGTTTGAGGGCCCGGACTTTGTGCACCCCGACGTGCACCACTTCGATGCCGTGCTGCCACGCCCTAAGGTATGCACTCACTCGCACACACTCGCACTCACTCGCACACATACACCCTCCCTTCCCCCCCATACATTACTACTCACACTCGTGAGTAGCATGCTTGCTTCTTGAATGCTCTGGCTTGATTGAAACCCATGTGAATCACTTTGATGCCGTGCTGCCACGCCCCAAGGTACACACACAGACCCACCCTTAAGGTACCGCCCTCCTTCATTCGACTCCTCCTCTTCCTGTTGAACCTGCCCTCATTCTGGTTACTCCCGTACTGCCTACCCATGATTCCTCTCCTCAACCCCTTGCTTCGTTTCCTGCTTCCTCTCTGTCTTTCATTGTCTGTCCCTTCCACTCTCGTCTGCAATCCCCCCCCTCTTTCTTAACCCCCCTCTTTACTCCTCCGCATCCTTCCAAACAATGGATTGTTGTGACTACATATGTCTTGGACTTTTCTTTTCGCCCCCATTCCAATCTACCTCTCCCGTTCTCCCTCTTATTCCCTCTCCCTCTTCCTTCCCATGCAAGGGCTTTTTATGATGAACTGCTTGAATCTCTCATTTTCACACCTGTTCCCTCTCATCTCTCTCTCTCTCTGTCCACCATCCTCTTTCGCCCCTCCCTCCTTCCTCCTTTCCAGGCAACGGCCTTTTATGATTACATGAACTGCTTGGATTCAGATGATGAGATTGATTTGGGGAGCAGTGATGGTGGCAGCAGTGACGGGGGGAGTAGTGACGGGGGGAGCAACCAGGGGTCGGGAAGCGAAGGGGGTGAGGATGAAGGGGGAGGGAGCAGCCGTAGGGCAGGCACAAGCAAACGGGTGGGACTGGCTGGTTGAGTGGTGCACGCCTGTGATTGGCGTGAAACGGGTGGCAGACACGTTGTGCGTGTGGATAATGAAGAAATTGTGCTTTTGTTTTCAGTTGTATTTACGTATGCCAGTAAGTAGTTGTTATCTAATGATTGTGGCTTCCATGTTCCATTCAGCAGATCCTACCTACGGTGGGTGAAATATGTTTTGCTATTGAATGAGTTGTTATTATTATGAGATAGATCCGCTGAAATATCTCGTTGTAGTTTGCTCGAAGCGGCTGCTTTCGCGTATATTGAGCATCAGGTGGCCATGATTTAGTTCTGCAGCGTACTGAAGCGTTCAGTACCGCGCTTGCTGTCATGTCTGACAATTTGGAAAATGCCACGCCACCACCTAACTCGCACTACCAGATCATCCTTCTGACCAAGGTTGCTACCAGCCTAGTCGCCTTTGCGCCGTGGTCTCATTATGCAATTCTCTTAAATTGATAAGAATAGAGACCATGCATCAACTGCACTGTAACTTGGCTTAACTACGGCTATCTTGTTCCTTCAGCGTCACCATGAGTCTACTAAGCTTCCTTCTAGCAGCGCTCGCTCTCCTCGTAGGCTGCTCCTCTCGTGCCGCGTCGCAGATCCTCGATGCGCCTGGCGGCGCGATGGGCGGCGACGGCGGGATCGAACGCGCCATGTCGCTTTATCGGGTGCGTGCGATTGTGTCATGCGCGATTCGCTACGACCCGTGCGATGCGACGGTGTGCGACATTCGGCGACAGATGTCGATTGTCGGCAAGTTGAAATGTCTATGTCGCGACGTCGATCGACCAGGATGCTAAATTTCAGTTCATAGCTCGCACTGTTCTGGACCTTTGAGTCGACTCAAAAGTAATTTCAGTTCATAGCTCGCACTGTCTTGGACCTCTTTAGAACCGTCAATGCAGATCGTCGTGATTCGTTTTCCCTGGGCCAGGCTTACCCTTTAGTCGATTGATTACACTCTGCGGAGTTTACCCATTCCCCAGTCAACCCTTTTGACAAATTTTTAGCATGTACTTTTAACCAACCCCAGTGCTCTCCCCGATCCCTCCTCCCACCAACCAACCACATCCCCGCCGTCCCCATCCCCCAGGCGTGGGAGGACATCTACGGCTTGAAACCCTCCAACCACCTTTTGAGTCGACTCAAAACTCATTCCCTCATTCCCTCACCTCCCCCCCCACCCCCCCCCCTTCCCCTCCCCCTCCTCTCCCCCTTTCCCCAGGCGTGGGAGGACATCTACGGGTTGAAGCCCTCCAACCACCTTCCCCCCGCCAACATCTCCCTTCCGCCCAACGTGCCCCCCGCGCCACACCTCGAGGACTGCGCGGCGCGCACGGCGTTCCGCCAGGCGGCGGAGCAGCGCGGGGCGGACGGGGAGCCCCCCGCGTGGACGCGCCCCAGCAACTGCTGCGGCTGCAACCCGCAACCCCCGTGGGTGAGCCTTGCGCGCGATGGGGAGGTTCGTTTCGAGGGGAAAGTTTCCGGGGGGAATTCGCGCGGGTGGGGGGAATTTGCGCGCGTGGGCGGGTGAGAGTTGCCACTTGCAGAAAAAAGCTTCCTGTAACCCCCACTCCCGCCGCCTGCCGCCTTCCTCATCATCCCCCTCCCGTTCTCCGTGCCCTCATCTACCCCCTCACCACTTCACCTATTCCCATCCTTCCCCCCTCGCCCTCCCCCTTTCCCCCTTTCCCCCTCCAGGTGCGCGGATCAGACGCGGGCAACCTGCCTCTAACCCGCGTGGCGCAGAGGGACCTGTGGGCGCACCAGTTCCCCGCCTCCTGCGCCGGCAAGCGCCTGCTGCTCCTCGACTGGCCCAAACCCCCCCCTCCCGACTCCGCTGCTGACGCTTCCGCTGGTGCCGCTGGTGCCGCTGGTGCTGCTGGTGCGGGTAGTGGTGCTGTTACCACGGGGTCAGACCTGCCGTTGCTGCTGCAGTGGGCGGCAGCGGCGCTAGGGCTGGCTGTGCGGTTTGACCGTGTCCTGGTGGTCAGAGGCGCGTTCCCCCCTGCCAAACACGGCCACTGCAACGGTACGGGAGGGGAAGCGGAAGGAGAAGGGGGAGGGGAAAGGGAGAATGAGGAGAGGGGGGATGGGGGACCAGGGTGGGGGGAAAGGGGAAGGAAAGGGGTGGAAGGCGGGGAAGGGGGAAGTACCGTGTCCTCTGGGCTCTTAGAAGGGGAGGGGCGTGGCCCGTGGGTGGGTACATCTGGAAGCAGCCTTGCCGCATCATTTACCCATCGCCTACCCCACGCCCCCCCCCTTCCCTGCCAAGACGTCCTTGTCCCCCTCCCCACTTTCCCCTTCTCCGCCTCCCCTTTCCCCCACCCACCCCCCACTCCCCGTCCTCCTTTCCAGTTCTCCCCTTTCCCCGTTCCCGCACTCCTCTGCTACTTCCTGCCCTCCGTGTCTCAGGAGTACAAACCGATCTAGTTACTTCAGGATTGTTCCTCTCCTCTCTCCCCCTGCACCCCTCCCCCTTCCCCTACCTCCTTTCCCCCCTTCTCCTCTTCCCCCCTTCTCCTCTTCCCCCCTCCCTCGTTTCTCCTCCTCACAGACCTCTCTGCTTCAGTCGCGTTCCACTGCTATGTCCTTTCCTCCGTTTCCCACGAACGACTAAGAAACGATCCAGCTTCTTTTGTCCGTAACCCTTTTCCCTTCTTCCCCCCTGCACCCGCTGCCCCCCCCCTCCCCCTCTCTCTCCCCGCAGACCTGTTCGCATCCGGCGCGCTGCACTGCTTCCTCCTGCCCTTTGTCTCCCAGGACTGCGAGCACACGGCCTCAGACGCTCCTCCCTGCATCCCCCCCCCACCCACCTCCCCACCCCCCTGGTCTTCAACCTTCCGCTCCCCGTTCCCCTCCCCGCTCCTCCCCCTCCACCCCCCTCCCCCCCCTCCCTCCTCCCTCCCCCCTCCCTCCCCTTTTCCCCGCAGACCTCTCTGCATCAGGCGCGTTGCGCTGCTACTTCCTGCCCTTCGTTTCCCAGGACTGCGAGCACGCGGCTCTAGACGCCGCAGCGGCCAGCAGCAGCACCATGCCCGCATGCCTGGACGGGCTCAGCGCAGGCGCGGAGGGAGCGGCGGAGAGAGAGGCAGTGCTGAAAGGGCAGGAGCCCGTGGTGTGCGTGAAAGGGGGCTCACTGCAGGACCTGAGGGGGTCGGGCGTGCTGGGGAGGCAGGCTATTGCTGCTGCCGCCGCCGCTGCTGCTGAGTATGCACTTTTTTGTGGCCCTTACCCCCCCTTCTTGCTGTTCTTTGTCTTGCTGGCTAGAGAGGTCCTCTCTAGGCAAGACTAGATTCGAATACCAACTTGCATGCTTGGGTTGCAGGGAGTGGTGCTTGCTGGTTGACTGATTCAAATTGATGTGTCGTCTTAACATCTGCAAGAGCAAGTCCCTACGATCTCTCTTTCAGATGTTATTTTCTCCGTGCTCTTCTCTTTCCGCCGCTCTCCTCTCCCCATCTCTCCTCTCTCCCCCGCTGCTTTCTCACCTTGTCCTCTCTCCCCCCTCACGTCACGGCCAACAGCCGGTGGGGCAAGGCGTATCAGCAGCAGGCGAGTGTACTGGAGGTGGAGGGTGTGGTGAGGAATGATGACGCCACACTCAAGGTCAGTGCCTCTTCTATGACCTGCCTCAAACACCCAACATATAAGGGGGAACAGTTTGTTTTGTGTGTGTGTGTGTGTGTGTGTGTGTGTGTGTGTGTGTGTGTGTGTGTGTGTGTGTGTGTGTGTGTTTTAAATTACGCTCTTGCGATGTTCACCACCCAATTACGATGCACCCTCCTTTCCGCCCTACCTCCCTCTCCCCCGTCCCCACCTCCCCCCCTCGTCCCCCAGGCATACTGGTGGCAGGCCCAAGCCCTGCGCTTCCTCCTACGCTGGCCCTCCGCCCTCCTCTGCCACGCCACCAACCGCATGCGCCACTCCGCGTACGGCCTCCGCGTCGCCACACACATGCTCCTATCCCGCAACCAGCAGACCGCCATCATCCGCAACGTGGCCAACCCCGACGGCACGCCCGAGAACATCAACAAGATCAACGGCTCAGAAGAGGCCGTGGCACTGGCACGCCTCAATTTCACCTCTCAGTGGACGCTGCATACTAGGGGGTGGCTTGGGGAGGGGTTTGCCGGGTGCGCTGATGCTAGCGGTGCGGGGTTGACTGGGAGAGCGGAGGAGGATGATGCGTTTGTTAAGTCGGAGAAAGGCAGGGGGAGGGTGGTTGTGGACCGGGATTACGAGGGGGTGGGGGGGGAGGTGTATGTGATGCGGCCAATCGTGAGTGTACAGCTGGCGCTGAGTGGTGATAGAGGGGAAGAGGGAGGGGGAGGAGGAGGAGCAGGAGGAGGGGGTGCGTCAAAGGGGCTGGTGGGGGAGGAGAGGTGGGGGTTGATGCTGAGTGCGGTGATGGGGTTTGTGCATCGCTTGCGGTTGGCCGTTCCAGATATGAGATACATTTGGCTCAGCACCCTTGCTCAGGTATGCTATGCTCCTCTGCTGCCATACTCTCCTGCCCTGCTTGCTTCTCCCCTGGTGATGCCTTTCAAGGTTCATTCTCCTTTCGTGACGCCACACATCTCTTCTCTATACCATGCCTATGACTTTTGAGTCGACTCAAAAGTCACCTCGTGACGCCACAGATCTCTTCTCTATACCATGCCTATGCGAGAATGCTAAACCATATGTTCAATCTCATACCGTGTGGATTACTGTGCCTGCTGCTCTACCCTGCCTGATCTAAAGACGGCTCCAACTTCCCTCCACCACCATCACTCCCACCTCTCAACAGCACCCTATGTGCATGTCTGCTGCTCTATGCATCAAAGCCTTCCAACCCCTTGCATGCGACTCCTCCACCCGCTCTTAGCCACACACCACCATGTAGCTCCCTCCCTACAAGCTCATAGCTTCCCACCAGCACTGGGCCCCTCACCAGCACTGGGCCCCTCACCAGCACCTTGTAAACCCCTCACCAGCACCTTGTAAACCCCTCACCAGCACCTTGTAAACCTCAAACCACAACCGCCCTCACCTCACCACCTGCTACTCCCTCCTCCTTCCCTTCAAGCTCAGTCCTGCCCGCACACGACTGTCGCTTGCTGCTCATCACCGAAGCAGGCTGGGATCTCAGGACTGCTGCCCTGCCCACTGCCTCCATTTTGTTCCCATTCACCAGAGGTTACAAGCAGTTGCCTGGCTGCACTTGTGATTGCATCAGACACCCCGTCTCCCCCCGTCCACACCATCCCCTACATCACTTTCTCTCCCTCTTCCTCGTCCCCTCCACAACAGTCGGTGATCGAGGAGTCTCACCACCACCCCGACTGGACCTTCATCCACTCCCAAAACCCGCGCTTGCAACGAGGCCAAGCCTTTCCCGAGTATGAGAAGGCTGTGGGGTTACCAGAGGTTACCAGCAGTCGCCTCGCTACACTTCTGATTGCATCGGAGAGTGATTATTTCGTAGGGGCTAGGGGGTCTGCTTGGCATGGCGTGCTCAATGGGCTGCGAGCTACGAATGGGAGGGGTTTTGCCGGCCATGTTACATTGGACCTTGAAGAATGATAAAATGTGTTCGATTCGAATAAAATAGATTCTAGTCACCTTTGACAAGTGAGATGCCTCTTGGCATGCTGTGCAGTGGAACTTCCATGGTGTGTTGAGTTGGGTCATATAGAGTGGAAATACATCAAAGCTAGAACTAGAGAATCCAAGACTTGAAAATTGTCAAAATCTGTATGTGGTTGTTAGGCGTAGTGAGTTTCCATGGGTGCAGAAATGTGAAACACTTGTGTGACACTTCTAAAAAATGTATGATGTGAAAGCGCAATTCAACTGCGAAATACAAGTACATAGTGCGCACTTAGCAGTTCCACTCCCCACCCACCCACCCTAGTCGTATACATGTATAATCTATAGTTGGATGAGAATGTTGTAATTACTGCAATTGTAATGAAGCACGTTGCCATTGTAAGAACAGAAATCAAGTTTTATCAATTTCTAGGTTTGTATTTGCACCCAACTCCTACTAATATCATTTCGATGTCTCGTAACTCTGACATGGTATTACGGTAGAGCAGAAAGTTCCTAGGATCATACACCGCCTACCTCTCCCTAGCTCCGTTCAATCGTCCAGCCAGCCAGCCGCCCGCTAGCGCGCGCAGCCAGCCAGCACGTCGTCAGCCAGCCAGCACGCCCCCCCCCCCCCCCCCCGCTCATATCACGTGCGCATTAGCAGCGTGCGCGCGCGCTTTAGGCAACGCGCTCCCCGCCAGCGCACAGCACTAGCATCCTGCGCGCCCTGCCAGCCAGAGCGCACGCACGCCCCAGCTAGCCAGAGCGTGCGCCCCAGCCCGCAGAGTGCGCGCCCCAACCCGCAGAGTGCGCGACCCAGCCAATGAGCACATGAGCGCCTCACCCAGCAGCAGCGCGCGCCTCGCCTCCAGCATCACGCGCCACCAGCTAGCTGCCAGCAGCACGCGCCCCGTCAGCAGTAGCGCGTGCCCTCTCCGCCAGCACCCCGCACCGTCACCACAGGCTGCCACCAGTTGCACGCTGAACCGGCCCGTCCTCTCCCGCCATTCCTACTCCCAGTGGCTCTTCTACCAGCGGATGGAAGCCGCACTTCCTTCCCTGGCGCAGTTTAGGGTTTTGAGCTACCTCCTCGCATGCGGTTCCTGGCCCGCCACTCCTAGTCGTTCAGGTTAGCTTCCAGAGTGACGTTCCTAGCTCCAGCCGTTTCTATCTCCAGTTATTCCTAGCTCTAGCCGTTTCTAACTCCAGCCGTTCCTCGATCCGGCCATTTCTAGCTCCAGACGCCCCTAGCTCCAGCCATTCCTAGCGCCAGCCGTTCCCAACCTGTCGCTCCTATGCCCAGCTAGCTTTTGCCATGGCGTCCGCTAGTGTTCCGCAGTAGCAGGGGCAGCCGCAGGAGCGCATGCATCAGTAGTCCCAGCCGTGGGGGCCTAGTGGTCTGGGGAGCGTCGGCACCAGCAGCGACCCAGCTAGCTGGGGGGCGCGTCGCGGTGGTCACAACGCCGGGCCTTGCTAGTACCGGATCCTGGCCGGCACTGGTGCTGGCACTACCTGCTGGCGTCTTGACCACTACGCGTTGCGCTGCTTCAGTCGCTTCAACGACCTCTACTGTGAGCGTTTCGGGCCTGGGTCGGTTCCGTTTTGCTGGCCTGCTCTGATTCGCCGTGGTTGCCATGTGTTTGATATGTCCTTAGGTAATATTCAGTCTGTCATGTATCGTGTCAACTCTAGTGTCGATCTGTTCACTTGCGTGTACATAGCTTAGAGCATTTGCATGTTTCTAGTGTAGGTGTCTGTGTTTCTAGTGTAGGTTCTTGTGTAGTTACTAGCCCCGGTGTGACTATTGCTGACGCGTCTCTTTCCTTCACGCTTGACTCCGGCGCGACCCAGTCCTTCTTCCGCGACCATACCACTGTCACGCCTCTTCCAGCACTAGTCTCAGTTGCTTTGGCAGATCCCACTTCTGGACCAGCTGTCGCTTGCAGATCCAACACACTCCCATGTCTGGCCATCCCCTCTGGTTCCCTCGCCGGTCTCCACATCCCTTCGTTCTCCAGGAACTTGGCGGGTGTTGGAAACCTTTTAGAGTGTGGGGTCATGGTCACATTTCCTGCACACGAGATGTTTGCGACCTGTACGAACGATTCCACGGGGGCACTTCTTGCGACGTTCTCCTGGGAGCCTTCGTCAGTTCTCTTCACACTGCACACTGCGTCCGGTCAGGTTGCTGCGTCGTGCTCCTGTCGATCACTCACCCACCCAACAGTCTTGTAGTACTACTATCTTGGTCAGCCTTCACTCCCACGCTTCTGTCACATGTATAGCCACTTTCTTGTCTCCAGTCTCCCGACCTTGCTTCCGTCGCTCCCTCCGTCGCCTGCGACGCCGTGCACTCATTGCGTTGAGGGGAGGCTGCGTGCTACTCCTCACTCCTCCTCCCTTGCGCCAACCACCACGCCTCTCGAGACTTTGCACCTGGACGTCTGGGACCCCGCCCCAGTCTTTGGGTTGGGACAGGAGCGCTTCTTCCTAGTGGTGGTTAACAACTTCTCCTGCTACACCACGGTGTTCCCCCTGCGACGAAAGACACACATGCCTGATCTTCTGATTCCGTGGTTGCTGGCCACCAGTGCCCAATGTGCTGTCCCTGTGCTTTGTCTACACTCCGATCGTGGGGGTGAGTTTCGGTCTACCGTTCTTGCCGAGTTTTGTCGCGAGCAAGGCATCACCCAGTCATTCACGCTTTCGAACTAGCCGCAGAAGAATGGGGCTGCTAAGCGCTGCATAGGCTTAGTCATGGAGATCGCCCACACCTCTATGGTCCATTTTCTATGGCCCTTTGCGATTCGTTACGCAACGCACCAGCTGAACCTCTTGCCACGTGTTTCACGCCAAGAGGTTTCACCGACCTATCTCTAGACTAGGTCCCCTTGTGTCGTGTCTGCGTTTCATGTCTGGGGTGGCCTTGCGCATGTCTGCGATCCACGTGCGGACAAGCTCTTGGCTCGCACCCTCCCATGTGTCTTCCTTGATTTCCCGGTTGACACCCCTGGCTTCACGTTTTACCACCTGCCCCTCCACCTGCTCTTCAACTCCTGTGATCTCACGTTTGACGAGTCAGTGTCCTTTGTCCGCTACCCTAACCGAGGTCTCCAGGTCCCTCCCCCTCCACTCTTCCTAGACCCAAGTCCTGCCCCCGTCAGGTGTGTCTCACGCTACCCCTCATCCCTTGGTAGCACGTCAGGTGTCGCCTCATTTACCACAGTCCCCTACGTTGTCCTCATAGTCACCACATCCTTCAGTACTACCGCGACAGGTCGTTGTGGATTCTGGGGGTGCTGGAGCTGGAGGTACTAGCACTGTAGGTGCTGGATATGGGGGTGCTAGAAATGGAGGTGCTGGAGGTAGAGGTACTGGCACCGATGGTGCTGGTTATGGAGGCGCTGGAGCTAGAGGTGAAGGAGTTGGAGGTGTTGGGTACTGGTTCTTGGGGTGCTGTGTTAAAATTAAGTTTGTGGCAGCCATGGCTAGTGACTAAAGTAGCGAGAGAAATTTTTCCTCTGAAGAAAGAGTCGAAATACATTTGAAGCATAGAGTTGGGAAACCCCAACTGAATCTAAGGTGTGTTCAATGCAATACAAATTGAACCTAAAATGAACCAGAAATGAAACTAAGGGCGTGTAACCATTTTGCACTTGCCTGAAGTTGCGTTTTTAAACGATTGTTCGACAAACGGACGGTTCCGTTTCCCGTTTGGAACCGTCCGTTTCCCGTTTGGAATCGTCCCGTTTTTGCGGTTTTGAAACGCTGCGACAAATGCGACGTTACGCTTGGTGGCGGGTTTCGCAATTTTCTCACAGGGGCTGATGCGGCTCGGGTTTGAAATTCGAAACCCATAAAAGTTGCATCGGGCCACACACACCCCATGCAACACAACACTGATGTACTTCTCTGCAAAACCGAGAAGTTGTCAACCATTGGCACCACACGGAATGTCCTCCCGCCATTTCCTAGCTTTTCTGGGAATACTCTACAGGGGCTACCAGCTGTTGTTCGTGCGCGCCACAATTGTGCAGTTAGGGACTCTCATTCCACTACTACTCGAAAACGGAGACGAGGATGATTTTATGCAGGCCGACCGTGAAAACCAGAGAGATCGTTGGGATACTTGAATACAATAGTGCCCGCAACGGTTTTCAGTGACTGTTTCCGAATAAACAGAGCCGTTTTTGAGTACTTGGTGGATGCTTGTGTCAGATTTATATGACATAGCTACTGTAGGCTATAGTGGGGTAGCACATATGGGGTACAGTTTTCTAGGGTTTACATTTGTACCCAACTTGCCCTTAGTCAATTCATTTCTCGTTCAGTTTCTCATGGTATCGAGCAGGTTCCCCTGTGGGAACTGTTCCTAGGGCCCACCACCTTTTTTTTTCCTGCCCGGAGCGCGCTCTACACTGCCCGAGTCGCGCTCCCCTCTCTCGACCCTGTCGCGCCGCCTTAGCAGCCCCGTCGCGTCGCGCCTGCGGCCCCGTCGCGTCGCCCTCGCGGCCCCTGCACGTCGCGCCGCCCTAGCGGCCGCGTCGCGCCGCCCTCGCGGCCCCGATCCGCCGCCCTCGCGGCTCCTTCGTGACGCGCCGCCTCGCGGCCCTTTCACGCCGCCCTCGCGGCCCTTTCTAGCCGCCCTCGCGGCCTCTTCAAGCCGCCCTCGCGACCCCCCCCCTCCTAGCCGTCCTCGCGGCCCCGTCGCCTACCCTTGCGGCCCCGGCGCCGCCCTTCCCTGCCTCGGCGCCGCCTCTGCTGGCCCCGTCGCCTACCCCTGCGGCCCCGGAGCTGCCCTTCCCGGCCCCGGAGCTGCGCTTCCCGGCCCCGGCGCCGCCTCTACTGGCCCCGACGCCGCTCCACCCGGCCCCGACGCCGCTCCACCCGGCCCCGACGCCGCTCCACCCAGCCCCGCCGCCGCTCCACTCGGCCCCGCCGCCGTCCCCACGCGGCCCCGCCGTCACCACCGAGCCGCCGGCGCCGCCGAG